TTTTTGATCAGAACAGCATCATCTGCAACCACTGTTATCCAATGACATTCAGCATAGATGATTTCATTAGCCTCTGTATTCTTTGTTGCACAAATATTTTTTAGAGCAAGATTTAAAGTGTGCACAACACAGGGTGTCCAAAATATATGGGGATAAGTTTGCTCCACTAATAATCCTGTAGCTCTACACACCGGTGCATTATCTGTAATAACCTGCACAACATTTAAAGGCCCGATTATGACTATCACCTCTTTAATCAAATTGGCAATAAAATGTTTATTCTTATATTCTCCTTCACAATTCACTGCTTTAATGAACATTGGGTAATTCTCTGTAACGGCCATGAAATTAATAAGGGGTCATCTTTGAGGATCTGTCCAACTATCACACACCAAACTAACACATTTTTCTTTCCACACTCCTTTTGTTGGTTCAAGCAATGTCTCAATATGTGCTCTTTCTCTTTCCAATAATTTCGATCTTAATGCATTGTAGCCAGGTGGAACATATCCTGCGAGGTTGTTGTTACATGCAAAAATGAAAGCATTTTTATAATGAGGATTCCTTGCAAAGTTGAAAGGAAGTCCCGCTAAAAAAAACATCCTTGCCATTTCACCATCAAATTTCTCTCGTTGTTGCAAATTAAAAGCCTTCTCTAGAGGACTACTGGCTACTCATTTTCTTTTATTTGTTTCATATCCTTCACTTCTAAATGATAAAGCTTGACCAACTCTCACAGATGAGGAAGAAGTGTGGGATGAGCTATGAGTAGATGGCAAAGGTATCTCTTTAGAGAGTGTCCTTTGGATCCTAGATTCAGCTTCATCAACTAGTCTGTTCATTTCAACCAACTGCGATATAGTAATCTTAAGACACATTTTTATTCCATGACCAGAAATTTTAAGTAGATGTGCCTTCACCCTAGAATAAGATCCTTTGTAGGTGCCACCACAATAATTGCATTTGAATGACACATTCCCTCATCCTTCAAATGTTTTTCCTAACTTTGTAACATGAATCCATAACGGCTTAACAATTTCTACAGATGGCTCTTTTGAACCTTCACTTAATCCACTCCTGTCAGCAATAGAGCTCATTTTGCTAACAAACCAATCATACATATGAATACATTATATTAAATTGATATGAAGTGAAATCAAAATATCCTAATAATAACATAACATGAATACAACAATATACCGGACTACCGGGGGTCCAAGGGGGTGCTGCCCCCTGGCGGGGTTCAACCTGCGGGGGTTTTCGGGGGCGCAAAATTTTATTGTAAGAGTAATTTTGAAGTTCTGCTTGTTTTTAAAGTTCATAAGTTATTTGTATGGGAAGATACTGAGTGGTACAGAGTATGTACCTAGCAATACCGAGCATATAGCGGTACCAAGCATATATTGAGCAGTACCAAGGATGTACTGAGCAGTACCGAACATGTACTGAGCAGTACCGAGCATGTACTTAGCGGTACCGAGCATATATTGAGCAATACCGAGCATGTACTGAATGGTACCGAGCATGTACTGAGCAGTGCCGAGCATATATTGAGCAGTACCGAGCATGTACTGAGCGGTATCGAGCATGTACCTAGCGGTACCGAGCATGTATTGAGCGGTATCGAGCATGTACATTAGGCTTTTCAACAATGAAGAGAAGAAATGACGAAATCCACTTACAGGTCTTGGCTCTCTTGCGCACAGAAGGTGCTCTGTTTGGCCTTGATTGCGAACTTTGCCTCGTATGACCGCAGAAATTACGCAAGAATGAAGGAATGCGAAAGACGAGCTCTGCTTGGCCTCGGCTCGAGCAGAGATGACGAAGGAATGGGAGGCAAAGGCAGCGGGCTCCGTTTGGCGTCGACTGCGAGCTCTCCCGGTCCGCCCTAGAAGATTTCTTTCGTGGATCGGAAAAATATGGCTTCTAGTTCGCGGAAAAGGGTAAATATAACGAACGATTTTATCATTTAATAACCGGACACGCGTGTTCGATTTTAATTTTAATTTTTTAAATTGTGACACTCCAATGCCGTGTCAGACACGTGTCCATGCCGTATCCGATGCATGTCCGTGTCCGACACGTGTCCGACACTGCATAACCTCTTTAAGAAGCGTGTCGGTGCATCATAGTAAAAAATTGTAAATAAACCTTGCAATTTAAAATGAAATCACCTTGAATAACTATAACAATATTTTATATGATTCTTAAATATAGCTACGTATCTTTAAATCATCATGATAATTACTCTATATTATGTTTATCTTGAAAAGTGGTTCACTGATAAAATTTTTAAATCGTCAAAATCCCATCTTCAGCCTTCATAGGTAATTCAATGATCCCGAGAATAAGGAATGGCACCGAAGATATTCGGGACAGTAGAGTTGCGATATTTTGAGCTTAATAGACCGTAATGTATAAAACTTTTAAAGGAACTTGACAACAAGAAACTCATTTTGTTGGTGCGAAGCTCTTCGAACAATGGTAAAGAAAATATTTAGAAAAATAGCAACAACTCAAGTGTAAGACTATTATGTCAATTCCTCGCCAAAAAAAAAAAAACAAAGAAATATGCATCATGCACTCATTAAGCCCATCTTTAATTTATCTCCAAACAAATTCTGTAGGTCTAAATTAGTCGCAGCTTTCTAATTAAAGTGACATTCTTGCGAAATAGAGCGTAGCACATGGTCATTTTTTTTGCTTTTCAACATCTTGCTACAACTCCAAAAAGAATTGCATCAGCAAACGCTACTAATGCAATGAAAAACTTCTAAAGGAATGGAATAATTTAAATATGTTATGTAAATTTTTTAAGATTGAGATAGCCTCTAAAATGAGTATCATATACTGGGACACAAGAACGATAATGATGGATGAAAAAAATGCAAATTCCCAATTCAAATAGGTATAGCTTAAACTCACCATTAAGGCTTCTACCATTAGAAGTGTTCGCAGTAAAAATAATATTAAATAGCCTGTTTACCTTGACTATCATCCCTAATTGCATAGAAAAACATATCCCGACCCCTTTGCTAAAGTAGCTTTAGGATGTGTTGACTGGTAACATTTTCACCCTCATTTTGAATGACTTTATGACATTGTTTCAGTTTTATCATAAGCACAATCCCTAATAGTTAATTATCCCTCAACCCCCCGATTACAAGAGATAACTTTTGATTAAGACTAGTCATTAGATAAGCATTAAATATTTAGTGTATAATAATAGTAATTTGGTTTAGGATTTGAAATTTACCACCATAAACTTGAAGTGGATAGTGGGAGTATGATGACAATACAAATCTAAATCCTATGACGCAATCGTCCTAGATAGTTATGATCCCTAATCTTTTTAGTCATAGAAAGCAGTCGACTCAACTTGATGAAAGATCCTCGATGGTAGCCATGAGTTGCTTTCCTCCAATGGAATCTTATAGATGCAGTGGATGTTTATCTAAGAGGATATAATTTTTTAGGAATTATATGGTAGCTATAATTCATTACTCGAGAATTTTTTAGCTATTAGGAAACATACGAGCCCTAGCTGTGATCATAAATTAATGGTACTATTTCACGACAAAACCATTGGTAGAGGACATGAGATTGCTTAAGAATGAAGCATAACAACACAATTGATAAGACATTTGTGCTATGATGCACCGACACTCTGCTTAAAGAGGGTATGCAATGTCGGACACGGACATGCGTAGGACACAGCATGGACATATTTTTGTATTCATGTTATTTTATTATTGGTAGTACAAATAATTGTTATTTTTGTTATTTTTTGTCATTATTTATAATTTTAAATTAATTCATTTTAATCGTTTTGAGGCTTACGCCTCGATCCGCCTCAAGGCTTACGCCTCGCCTCGTTTAGAAAAAACGCCTCGATTCCCGATTTCGCCTTTTAAAACCTTGTTAAGAATGAAGCATAACAACACAATTGATAAGACATTTGTGCTATGATGCACCGACACTCTGCTTAAAGAGGGTATGCAATGTCGGACACGGACATGCGTAGGACACAGCATGGACACGTGTCCGGTTATTAAAT